CTTTTTTTCCAATAAAACTCTGTTTAAGTTGAAATCAACAGCATTTCTTTGACATGGGCTCGTGATGCGTTGTTTGTCGTTTGCTTGGACGACGAAGATAGGAAGAGTGCTTCTTCTGAGAACTCCCCTGCGAACGAGAAGAGCCTCGTCCAGCAAGGAAAACACATCCTAACTGGTGGCGGAAGCCATGGTTTTGGCTTAAATCGCTGGTATGACGCGACCATTCAGGTTGGAAACTCAACTACTTCAGCCGTTCCGTATCTTGATCACTTATTTTCAGCTAGTCGTCAGCAGTAGTGGTACAAACGGTTTGTGCATCGAACATTCCGCTGCTGAGGGCATTGTCATCATCTACATGGCTGAAAGTGCACTTCGATACGAGCGAGAAAATCGAAAACGAATTATGGTAAGTGGTCTGGAAGACACTCAGCGAGCATCACTCCCGGTGGTTTCCGAACCAAAAAAGCGAGAAGCGCATCCCTGTTGGTTGCAGACTAACTGTAAGGTTACTTCTACTTTTGGAGGAGACCTAAATTCTCGTTCTGTGCAGATGATGGTAACTGTCAAAGGGGTGGGGGTTGGGTACGTGTTTGACGCGGCGCCTGATCGTTTTCCTCTCTGTTTCTTTCAGCGAGCGACAAGACTCTATCACATCATTCGCATCTGTCGATTTCGATCATTTGCTGCAAGCTTCCCCGCTCACAAGAACCTGTCAGGCCTAAATACTGGATGGACTATTTATTTCAGGTCAGCCGACCTGAACGTGAAATGAGCGCGAAGCCATTAACATGGCACGTTGGCGCTGATGGTCTGGAGCTTCTACGAAAACAAGCTGCAGAGCTTGATGAGTGAGTTACCCCGTTTATATCTCTGGGGAGCAATTTATTTGTTATTAATAACTGATGGAAAAATAGTACCTGTTTAGCCTCAAAAGATCAGGGATAACCTAGACGGGTTTGAGATTTGAAAAAAAAATTCGTTTCTCTTCGGGAATATTCTCTGGTGCCAGTTTTTCCCTTGTTGCATAACGTCCACGAGCTTTGCAGTATTAAAAAATTATGAAATGAAAATGATGTGCGCCTCCAAGCAGTGGCCAGCGGAGAAACCCAATAAGCTGACTTTTAGGGTACTCTACCGAGACATGTGTTGCAAAAACCACGTGGGGAAGCTTGAAATTCATGCTAATGTTACGATTTCCACATTAAATGGCAGCTTTATCCGAAAAGGAACCCAAGTCTTTGTTGATTCTTATTCGGCATTCAGCGACAACAACGGCCATAAACTGTGAGTTTCTACCGGTTTTTTTTCACTGGTCATGTACAGTACCTGTTTCAACACTATCCCCCCCCCCCCCCTCTCACTTGAGCAACGATGGAGTTTGGATGTGGGAGCGATACAATCACAGTCGCGATAAAAGCAGAAAAAAAAAAAAAAAAAAAAAAAAAAAAAAAAAAAAAAAAAAAAAAAAAAAAAAAAAAAAAAAAAAAAAAAAAAAAAAAAAGAAGAAGAGGAAGATAAGTAGGACGCGCCAGCGCCGTTTCCATACTGGAAAAGAGCAACGCCGCGCGTCAAATTTATCTTCCGTGCCAATTCGTACAGTGATGCCGCAATCTGGATGTAACGCTCCACACCCTAAGTAGGCTCTAATCTCTAAGCAGCTCGAATACAAAATGTATATGGCAGATAAGCGAATCTATGGTGACGCAGACCAGCGGTTGTTCTGGAGCTGTGCAAGAAGTCTGTCACTACCTCGTGGCCCAAACAGAGTTACAGCATGCGAGATGTGCGAAAATGTCGGTGTGATACGGACCCTCTCCTTTCGAATGGGGTCCAGGCACGACCCCGCCTCCTCGCCTCCCACGCTTTCTTGGCTGACGGCCGAGCGGATGAGTGTATAGTCGACGAAAAGCTGTGAGCGCAAGGTAAGGATCATTATAATAACTATTGCAAACGTATATCCCACGCGGGTACAAAGCAATAAGATTGCATATAAAAAGTTTTAATACCCCTTTCCACAAGAAAAAAAACAACTCTCAAAATAAGATTTTCTTACAAATACGAACCCCCTCCACAGCAAGAAATTACGGACATCCCCCTCCGCAGAGCAAAAATACGACCCCCCTCCCACAGCAAAAGTGCGATCCCCATGGGTCTTGACACGTTACCCTGGCCCCAAATTTCAAGAGAATCAGCTAAATATTCATTGCATCACTGTTTAGAGCTGAGTGGAAAAAAACTGTTGGAATCTAGTGGTATCACGGCGGTGCTCGGTTGCGGTCTTGCCTACGATATCTGTGTGCGACATACCCTCAGTGACGCCAACAAACTTGGCTTCTTAAGCGGCGTGGTACGAGATTGCAGGTAATCGGGTTTCCTGTAAAGGGCAGCGGTAAGGCTTGGCTCTAAAAGCGGAACAACTTCGCCTTGCGCTCGTCATCATTGGGTGTGTGTGCAAATATACAAACAAAGTGTCCAATTTGATCTGAAAAGCGTTCAATTCAAAGTGAAATTGGAATATTCGAGAACATCGTAGAAATCTTCCATTCTATAGCACCAGTCCTTCGGTTGACTGTAAGTCCGCCGAATATTGCATTCTGTCTGGAACCTTATGGCTGATGCATATTGTTTCTAACAGTTTGAAAAATACCTTTTTCAGCAAAGGACTGTCCAAGGAAGGCGTGCAGGAAACAAGTGAGCTTTTTGCTTCTGAAAATATCGCCATTATCGAATCGGATGCTGCCAAACGCATAATAAAAAAAGAAAAGGTTCCCATCGAATGGGGTGAAGAAGCTCATGGGAAGGAGCATTGGAAATGGAACTATCAGTTAGGATCTAACAATTATTCCAGAAAATGTCTATATCTGTGATTTCTCTGTGATTTGATTGATTCGGTGAATTTTGAGCAGCTTTAAATGCTTTAACTATTTTGTACCGCAGAAAGGAGTCCCCATTTAAGAAGTCTAGCCGATGAATATGGACAGGTGAGGAAAAGCGGTTTCCGCTGGGGTCATATTCCGCACTAGGTAAAGAACCATTGCTGAGCGACTGATAAAAAAATGCCTCCTCTGATTTTTGTCACAACAGAGCAGCGGGATAGTGAGACGACTGTGGACTATGTTTCTTGCTGCTTTCTCGTAGTAATCCAAGTCAAACGCGCCGCGTCCGCACGCATCGTCTTGTGCATTACATCCTGCATTGTGCCATGTCGTTGTAACAGTTAAATCAACATTTACTACTGAATTTTTGTCATGTAAAACATTCTCGTTTTATTTTAAGCTATTAAATAAATGATGTACACCTTTTCTCCCTGAAATGTTATGTGTTATGTTATGTTAGGTTGTATTGAAATGAAAGGTTATATAGTGATATCAACCCAATCAGTCGGAGCAGGATGGGGCAGCTTCCAGATCTCTGTTCGACAGATAATCGGCTTAGTGACGATTGAAGAAGAAGAGAGCTACTGGTGAAAACGCTGGGGTTAAGCTCATTCCATATCTCTCGACAGCGCCCCGATCGATTGCGACAATATCAAGGGTACCATGATAAAAATGGTTCCGTTCATATCGGGGGCAAGAAGGGGTGTCCGGCTGTGTATTACCTTCACAGCAAATCTTGGGGTTGATGGAGTTCTTGCTCAATACGACCCCTCTCCATTCTCTCCCACCCCTCTCCCCCTCTTCTACAAGCGACCGTTCAACTTGAAAATCTTTCCCAAAACTTTGCCGTTGAGCAAGGGGAGGGGAGTGGCAACTAGTAGAAATTGTAGTTTCGCGGTGGGGGCACTTGCCATGGGGGGATTGATATTGCATAGCAAGCGTGTAACGTATAAGTTTATAATCAGAAAACGGTGACTGGCCAAGTGCAACCCCCTCCTCTTCAAATAACCAAGTGCGACCTTCCCACCTGTCGAAAATCCCCAACATTTGGTGCATCCGGAGCTACCGTTCCGACTCTCTTTTCTTATACATAGGCCTGTACCTCTCTTTTTACTGGACTCAGCAGCCATCGCCTGTCGCGTAGCCATGCCAGTCGCTAGCCATGCCATGTACTTAATAGCTTGTGGAGACATAATGCTACAATTCCAAGTTGCATCAATTAGCTCGAGGACGCGCACGAGACACCGCTTTTGCACCGATGCTGCAAGGCGGATCTTTCAGCGTTACATTAGTGGCAACTGGATGTTACGAAACTGCTGCTTCATTGGTTCACGTCGGGAGACGGGCAAGAGAATCGTGATTTGCCGCCCAGCCGCGTGCGGCGATGGGCGCGGCCTTTTTTAACTCGTGTTAAACCTGTTGGAGGCGGAGATGGTGTAGTGACAAGTGGGGCGCTCACCATTCGCGCGGTCCCGGGTTCGAATCCCGGGTCGACTCCCGCCCAGGCCAACCAAGCCTTCTACCCTCCGGGGACGGTGAATTGGTACCAGATTCGTCTGGGAGGATAAAACACTGACTTGTACATCGGCTGGCCACCGCAAGTCATTGTATAGGCCACATCGCATTCAATAACCCACTACGATTCTGAATGGAAGTAGAATGCGTGCCGCATCCCACAAAGGGATTTTGAATTCACGGCGAAAGACTTTATTCCGTTTATCCTTATAACCTGTCGACTGGAGCACCGGGGACTTCATGTAGACCCCGTCCTCGTGGACATTCATGACTATTTTCGGTTCTGAATTGCCTGTCGCCATCTACTACCTGGAACCATCGCCATTTGCGAGCGCGACGTCGCACGCGACGCCCATTAGCGCGGCAAATTACGATTCTTGTCACATACCGGTTCACGTCAGATCGTTCGCGATATGGAAGCTACGCATTCGATTGCGTCTGAAATACGACGAAGACTTCAAGGAAAGCTTAGCGATGAGCCAGCG